AGCCCATAGCCATAGTTGTTTTTCTTGAATAGGCATCACCAGCAGGTGTGAGAAAATTTATAGGTTTTTTAAAAGGCCAGAGGGGGCACCTGGTATGAAGGTAGGGCCTCCACTCCCACCAAGGACCCCTCAGAGCAGCTGCAGGTTTCTGGGTAGCTCCAACTGTGCCTCATGGCTTTGTAGGCCATGGACCACAAAGCCTTGGGTAGCCCAGCCCAGGAGAGGTGGGCACCATCTGCTGCACAGCTGTTTTCTCTCCCTCATTGTGTATGTTGGCCCCCTCCACATCCCATCCCTGGGGTTCTGCTTTCTTGGATGCTTACCATTTCCAGGTGTCCGTGTGTGTGTGTCTATGTCTGTATGTGTGTGTTCATTCTTGGGAATGAACTCAGGGCCTTTGGACTTAGCTGCATCCCCAGTCCTTTTGGCGGGGGGGCGGGGGGGATGTCTTGCTGCATTGCCCAGGTTGGGCTTGAACTTGTGATCCTCCTGCCTTGGCCTCCCAGAGGACTGAGATTACAGCCTTGGGCCACCACCATACCCAGCTTCTCTTGGTCTTTAAAATACAGCAGGGTTGAACAGGCAGCCCCTCCACCTTAAACCTCCTGTGATTGCTTCTGTAATCTCTCTGCCTCTTCTACCCCATTCTTTTGTGAACCCATTGCAAAGTCAGTCTTGAAGTTGCTATTTCCCAAGGAGGAAGTTGGCACCGCACATCGGTGTCTGGTTAGGTCTGTTTGGGTTGCCTGGTTTATAAACGACGGGTTTATTTCCCTTGGTGCTGGGAAGCCCAGGATCAAGGTGCTGCAGGTGCTGTCTGGTGAGGGGCGCTTCTTGATTCTAGGTCAGCTTTCCCTGTGTCCTCATGTGGTGGGAGAGGACCAGGGAGCCTCCAGGCCTCTCTGTGTGGACCAGATCCCATTGATGAAGGCCCCACCTTCACCAGCTAATCACCTCTCGGACACCACCTCCTGATACATCTGTCAGGATTAGGGTTCAGCATAGGAGTTGGGAGGACAGCACTCAGGGTGTTATTGGCGTGGTCTGCAGCAAGTGTTTTACATTATTGAAGGCTGTTGGGATGAAGGTCCAGGTTTGCTTTTTTTTTTTTTTGGTACCGGAGATCAAACTCAGGACCTTGCACTTACAAGGTGTAGGCAGCAGAACCACTAAGCTAAATAAATCCCTGGCCCCAGGTTTACTTTTGTGGGTCCTAGGTTGCACCACCTTGAAGTGTGCTTCTGCTGTTGTTAGCAGAGGGCCAGGTGGGTGATCTCCTTCTGATCACTGGAGGAAGACTGTGGCTGGAGGACCCAGGGACTTGGCTAGTGTGAGCAGTGCCTTTGGGAAAGAGGCCGGCCGTGGATTGGGACACAGTAGAGGAACTTGTTTATTCAGTAGAGTTCACATTCTAACACTAGGTCAGAGAAACTGACATACATCCAGGATGGGCTGTGTAGCTGAAAATGCACATGTCAGCTGGGCATGGTGGTGCATACCTGCAATCCCAGCACTCTGGGAAGCTGAGGCAGGAGGAGGACAAGTTGGAGCCGAGCTTGGGCAACTTAGTTGAGACCCTGTGTCAGAATTTTAAAAAGAGCTGGGAATTGGGGCCGGGGATATAAATGCTCAGTGGTTCCGGCGTCTGCCTCTCAAGCGCAAGGTCCCAAGTTCGATCCCTGGTACAAAAAAAAAAAAGGGCTGGGAATTGCCCTGGTAATCCCCAGTACTGCAAAAAAAAAAAAAAAAAAAAAAAAAAGGTCCAAGTATTCCCACCAGTTTTTGGATTTGGACAGCTATATATTTAAGAAGTTATAACAATACCACTTAAAGGGTACTGGTCCCTACCTGGGTGTGGTGGCACTAGGGAAGCTGAGGCAGGAGGATTAAGAGTTCCATGCCAGCCTGGGGTACATAGCAAAACTGTCGTTTAATAAAAGGGGCCGGGGTCTGAGGACCAGGGATGAAGCTCAATGGGACAGCATCTGCCTGGCAAGGGTAAGGTCCTGAGTTCGATCTCTGGTCCAAAGAGGGTGGGGCTGAGCCCTGATAAAGGAATGAATGTCATTCTGTCCTTCTCTCCCCGGCCAGGGCTTGAGGGAGAGAAAGCAAGGAAACTATCATATGTCATGATGAGCACAGAGGCGACAGTAACCTAGAAGTCCCCAGGCAGGGCACCTGGTGCAGGAGCCGCTGTTTATAGGGGCCAGTGTAGAGAGGCCTTGCAAGTGGCTCAGCCAGGAGAAGCTCACAGAGCACAGACCCGGTGTCACACAAGGAAGGGCCTTCTGTTCACGCTGAAGCTACTGAAGGCCAGTGACAGGGGCCTGTGTAAGGGAGCTTGATTTGTTTCCTTTTTTTTTTTTTTTTTTTTTGCTACCGGGAATGGAACTCTGGACCTCCTGCTTGCAAGGCAGGTGGCGGAACCACTGAGCGAAATCCCTGGCCCCTTCATTTCCAATTTTAACAGTTTCTGAAATTTGACATTTCTGTTATTGCACAGCAATTCTATTTTTCTTTTCTAACTGTACTTTATTCTGTGTTAGTCCCCTGGCCCTAAGTGAGACCACATGTGGCTCCCTTGGTCCCAGCCCAGTAGGTGGTGTCTGCCTGTGTTGGGGGACCCTGTGTTGGTCTTGTAACCCTCAGGCCTGCTGCTGCCCCTGTGAAACAGGTGCTCCCCTCGAGTGCTGAGAGCTGCGCAGAAGAGCTTTGGAAGTAGGTTACTCTTCTCTAGGTGGCGATATTTTGGGGTTAAGTTTGTTTCACTTCTTGACATTCTTGCGATGTTACTGCCGATCATGGTGAATTTTGTGACACGAAGTTAAAACCACAGAACAGGTAAACGGAAGATGTCTTCAAGTAGGGTTGGTAGTTTGCTCAGCTGTGTGGAGGAGCAGCCCTCGGTCCTTCTAGATGTGTCCCTGTTAGGGCTGTGTCCAGATGTCTCCCCAAAGCCTCATGCAGTCATAGGTGGGGCTGTTTCAGAAGTGGCTGGATCTAGGGTATGTGAGGGTGGAACTGATCCATGGTGCAATGCTAGGGTCAAGGGGACTAGGATTAAGGGTGTGAGTGCTACCTGCCCTGAGTAGTCTGGATAACATAAAAGGGGCAGAAAGATGCTGTTAAGATCTCTTGTTGCCTTTGCTACCTTGTTTGTGCCATGAATTGTTTCTCCTCTACAATGTGCCACTCTGCCTTGGAGCCAGCCAACTATGAACTGAAACATCTACAGACTGTGAGCTAAATAAACCTTTTCCAGCAGGGGGTATCACAATCCCTGACCTGAAATTATACTACAAAGGTAATGTGATAAAAACAGCATGGTACTGGCAAAAGAACAAGCCTGAGGATCAGTGGAACAGACTAGAAGATGCAGAACAACTCCAGACACACTCAGCCACCTTATCTTTGACAAAGGAGCCAAACACCTTCACTGGAAGAAAGATAGCCTCTTTAATAAATGGTGCTGGAAAAACTGGGTCTCCACATGCTGAAGTTCAAAACTAGACCCATATCTTTCATCATGCACTAACCTCAAATCTAAATGGATCAAAGATCTAAATATTAAAACAGAAACACTAAATCTGCTGGAAGAGGGAATAGGTAGAATGCTTGAGGACACAGGAGTAGGCAAAGACTTCATGAATAAAACCCAGAACCCACGGGAAATACTAAAAAGAATCAACAACTGGGACCTTATCTTAATAAGTTTTGCACAGCAAGAGAAACCACCAACAGAGTGAAGAGACAACCCAAATTTTTTTACCAGCTATTCAGATAAAGGTCTAGAGTATATAAAGAACTCAAAAAAATCAGATTCCCCGAATTTAAAGACCCATTGCAAAAATGGGAATCTGAAATTTAAAAAACTTCTCAAATGAAGAATTAGAAATGGCAAATAAATATATGAGAAAATGTTCAACATCACTGATCATTCGAGAGATGCAAATTAAAACAACGCTGAGACTCCATCTCACTCCAGAAAGAATGGCTGTGATCAAGAAATCAACTAATAACAAATACTGGAAGGGCTGTGGGGAAAGAAGAACCCTTCTCCACTGTTGGTGGGAGTGTAGACTGGTGCAACTACTGTGGAAATCAGTGTGGAGCTTTCTCAAAAAACTAAAACTAGAGGTTCCATTTGACCCAGCTATTCCTCTTCTTGGTATCTTCCCAAAAGAATTAAAAGCAGGGCTGGGGATTTAGCCCAGTGGTTCTGGCGCCTGCCCCACAAGCACAAGGGTCCCAAGTTCGATCCCCGGTACAAAAAAAAAAAAGAATTAAAAGCATCCTACCACAGCTATATATGCACACTCAGGTTTATAGCAGCACAGTTTGTAATAGCTAAATCTTGGAAACAGTCTAAATGCCTGACGAGTGGATAAAGAAGATGTGGTTTTTTTATACAGTGGAGTACTACTCAGCCATAAAGAAGGATGAGCTTCAGACATTTATAGCTAGATGGATGGACCTTGAGACCATACAGTTTTTGTTGTTGTTGTTGTTGTTTTTTGGTACTGGGGATCGAACTCAGATCCTTGCGCTTTCGAGGCAGGCGGCAGAATGAGACCGTACTCTTAAGTAAAATAAATCAGACACACATATTTAAATACCTCATTGTTTCTCAGGTGTGAGAAACTGAATGTGGAAATAAGGACTCATATATAATGGATGTTGGGAAATGTGAAGAAAGTGTCCAAATGGGAAGGGGAACAAGGGAGGAGGCAAGGAGAAAAGAAGGAAGGGACAAGAAAAAAAGTGAAAATAGAAGGAAAAGAATGGAAACAGTTTTTGTACATAGAGAGGGGAGGGGCTTAAAGGGGGGAATGGAATAAAAAAATTTAAAGAAACCTTTTCCTCTTTAACTTTGGGTGTCGGGTATTTTGTCTCAGCAACAAGAGAAGAGTAACTAAGACAGCCCCATTCCCAGGGTCCCTGGCCTCTGTGGGACCTCTGTCCTTGCCCGAGTTGCTCACTGTTGCAGTTTCCATCTGCAGGCTCAACACCAGGCCGGGCCTGGGAGGTGTTCGCTCTCGAGTTGGGGTCCAGCACAGCCTTCTCGGCCAGCCAGCACGCACCCCCACCTTTCAGCAGAGGTTTGATGCACGGCAAAAGATTGGCCTGGCAGATGCCCGCCTCAAGTTGGGAGTCAAGGATGCCCGGGAGAAGCTTTTGCAGAAAGATGCCCGGTTTCGGATCAAAGGGAAAGTGCAGGACGCCAGGGAGATGCTGAACTCCCGGAAGCAGCAGACCACAGTGCCACAGAAGCCTCGGCAAGTGGCCGACGCCCGTGAGAAGATCAGTCTGAAGAGGACCGCACCTGCCACCTACCCAACCCTGCCCGTGGGGACTGTGACCCCTGCCTTGAAGCTCACCAAGACCATCCAGGTAGGGCTGGCTGGGGTGTGTGTCCCCAGCAGGACAGGAAGAAAGGCACGAGGATCAGGCGGGAAGCTGTGGGGTGTAGGCAGGATGGTTTGGGCAAAGTGAAATTCTCCCAGGTGTTGGTACAGCGGTTTGTAAGGGTCAGATCTGGCTGCTGGTCAGTGCCATGGCCACCCTCCCCAGTCCCTACCCCAGGGGAGAGGGGCAGCAGTGTGGGTAGTGGGACCCTGACTGAGCCGAGCCATGTGGGCTTGGGCTGACGGTGCTGTCCAGTCCCACGTAGTGGATGCCCACACTGCATGGCCAGTGTGGTTCATGTGCATGAGCCCTGGGCAGACTGGTGACCACTGTGTTTCCAGGTTCCACAGCAGAAGGCCACAGTGCCCCTGCATGCCCATCCTGCTGGAATGAGAATCAACGTTGTCAACAACCACCAGGCCAAACAGGTACGTGAATGTGTGTGTATGTGTGTGTGTGAGAGAGAGAGAGAGAGAGAGAGAGAGAGAGACAGAGAGACAGACAGGGCACGCAGGTGTTAGACCTGGCCCAAGACTCCACTTCTGAGGGGTAGAGGAGAAATTACATTTGACTTTTTGCAGTTTGACCTTTTTTTTTTTTTTGGTACCGGGGATTGAACTCAGGAACTTGCGCTTGTGAGGCGGGAGCCAGAACCACTGAGCTAAATCCCCACCCTGCAGTTTGAGTTTTAAGAAGAAACTTTTTTTTTTTTTACACCGGGGATCAAACTTGGGGCCTTGTACTTGCAGGGCAGGCAGTGGAACCACTGAGCTAAATCCTTGGCCCTAGAAGAAACTTTTTAATGGGGGGCGGGGGGCGCAGTATAAGAGACAGGCAAATTAAATGTTTTTCCAGTACTGGGGAGTGAACCCAGGAGTGCTTGCTCTTCCACTGATCTACATCTGCAGCCCTTTTGATTTTGAGGTATGAAATACTATACCACTACCCCTGAGTATTTTTTATTTTAAGAGTTACACGTATTTGATATAGAAAATTTGCAAAAATATGAAGAAAGTAACTGAGCATGGTGGCACACACCTATAATACCAGCATTCTGGGAGGATGAGGCAGGAAGATCCCAGGTATAAGCCCGGCCTGGGCAACTTAATCAGACCCTCTCTCAAAATTTCAAAAAAGGTTGGGGTTCAGCTCAGTGGAAGGACCTGGGTTCAATCTATAGCACCACAAGAAAAGGAAAAAAAAGTCCTTCTTGCTCTGGTTCTCCAAAGCCAGCCATTGTTGAAATTTTGCCCTAGTACCATCCAAGATTTTGGGGGTTTGACTTGTTTTGTTTGGGCTCTTGGGATTAAATTCAGAGCCTTTGCATTAACTTACATCTCTAGCCCACCCCAACTCCCCATCCCCTTTTAAAATTTTGAGACGAGAGTCTTGCTAAGCTGTCCAGGCTAGCTTTGAACCTGTGATCTTCCTGCCTCAGCCTCATAGAGTGGCTTGGATTAAAGGCGTATGTCATCATCCCCTGCTTTTGGTTATCTTCTTACCCAAGTTAGTGCTACTTTTTAAATTTGTATTTTTATTTTTAACTTAACCTTTCTGATGTTTTACATTTACTGTAAACATCACTAGTAGCTGTACAGTCCCTTGAGTGACATTCCAGTTTTTCTCCTGTCATTTTCACTGTTAAAAGTCTTTCTGCCGTGGATGTCTTTGGGGATGAAACTCTTTCTGGGGTTGGCAGGCAGAATTACCTAGGGGGGCCTCTCCAAGCTGAAGAAGATAGAGCAATGACGTTTGAGTTGGTGGCGGGCACTTGCACAGCGGTCTACACACACAGCTGAGGTGTCATTGCTGTGCCTTCCATGCTCATGTACGTGCATTCCGGCGTTCACACGGCCCAGACAGCTCCTAGGTACACATCCTTGTCATGATGTGACACGTGGCTCTAAATGCATTTCAGACTCTTGATGGGAGCTGCCCACTTACAGAAAGTGCCTGCAAGCTGTGGTACTTTTTTTTTTTTTTTTTTTTTGGTACCAGGGATCGAACTCAGGACCTTGCACTTGCAAGGTAGGCGGTGGCACCACTGAGCTAAATCCCCGGCCCTGTGGTGCTTTAACTCTGAGAGAACTTGAGCCCCAGATGCCCCACCCCTGTGCCCACTTCCTCCCCATCCCTCCCTCAGCAACTGTTCCCTGTTGTGCTATGGCCTACAGGCCAAGTTAGCATGTGTTCCTTTCTTCCCAGAATTTATACGACCTGGATGAGGACGAGGAGGTGACAGCACCCATCCCTTCTAAGCAGATGAAGTTTGCAGCCTCTGGCAGCTTTCTCCACCATGTGGTACGATGGTTTCCTTTTCCTTCCCTTGCACCTGGGGTGGGAGAGGTTGTGGAGAGTGAACAGGGCCTTTCAGTGATTTTGGCTGTGAGACTTCAGAGCTGCAACCGGTCCAGCCTTTGGTCTCACATAGGTCCTGTAGGGAACAGGGGAAGGGGACGTTACCAGAACCTCTGCAGTAAGTCCTAGTCTCCTGTGAGCCACGGCAGCACACGGCGAATGACAGGAAAGGTAGACAAATGAGACTGAGAAGAAGCTGAGCTTTGGGTCTGACCAGTGCTGCTCTGGGCAGCAAAGACAAAGCCCCCCTAGCTTGCAGCACCTTTTATTCAGTACATGGGGAAACAAAAGTAACAAGTGAAATATAGAGTTCAGTACTTCACATTGGGATAAACAAGGTGTAACAAAAGGCTGGGGGCAGTGGAAATCTAAGAACAATGAGGAACTATGCAGATGAAGATTTGGTTCCTCCCTGGCCTCTCCGGCAGGTGTGGTCTTGTCCTGGAGATTACAACATGGGGGGGGGGCGGGAATCACTGAGGTCTCAGTTGTGACCGGAGGCCAAAATGCAATTATGTCTGGAAGGTCCTAGCTGGGCTGTAGGCAGGAGAACTAGGCCTACTCAAATGATTTTTCCCTAGAATTATGTAGCATTGCTCCCAACAGGGTCCCACAGTGAGCACCATGCTGGGCTGCAGCTCCCAGGGGCTGTGCTTTAGACACACGAGGGAAACATGTTTTGGAGCATTTTCCACTGCTGTAACAGCACCACAAGCTGCTGTGTGTGCAGAGTGGAGGCCAGAAGTCCAGTCATCGGGACTGTCTGGGAAGGCCTCACTTGGGGATAGCATGGCAGAATGACAAGCATGGGAGAGACCAAAATTGGTGAACTCGTCCTTCCATAAGCAGCCCACACCTGAGATTCCTACCCAACTCCTGCAGTAACAGCCTTAATCCATGGGCCGGGGATTTAGCTCAGTGTTTCTGGCGCCTGCCTCACAAGTGCAAGGTCCCAAGTTTGATCCCCAGTACCTGCTCCCCGCCCCAATAATGTATCATAACAGTCTTAATCCATTCACAGGGGCAGTGTTCTGGTGTCCAAAACAATTCTTTTTTTTTGTTTTGGTACCGGGTGTCGAACTCGGGACTTTGTGCTTGAAAGGCAGGCAGCAGAACTAAAACAATTCTTAAAGGTGCTACCTCTTAATACTATTCTGTGGAAATTAGATTTAGCATCAGTTTTGGAGGGGACAGCAAAACTAAAGCCAGGACAATCTCATGAGAAGGAACCCAGTTTCCTTTTCTCTGTGGCAGGACATTGAGCCTGCTCCCTGGCACTCCATGGTCTGAAGTTTTGGCTGGCTCTTTGATTTGGGGTTTTCTGGGTGAGATTTGCAGGAATAATAAGTCCTACCTGACCCGTGGGCTCCTGCAGGTGCAGCTTTGTGGGGAAAACTTGCGATTAGGGTGCTGATCTTCTTCCTGTATCACTTTGGGGCTCGGTACAGCTGAGCACAGCAGGAAGGCCTATGGTTCCTGCCAGCTCCTCCAGGCAGGCACCTCCTGTTTTATCTTCAGCGGCCTGAAGACTGGTTTTGGTCTTCATCCTGAGTGGGCCCCCCTCCTGGTTACCCATTAAGCTCTTAGAGTGCTGTGAGAAGCTGTGTGCTGCCGCTTTGTCTCTATGCAGGCACCACGCCTTTGCAGTAATTAGGGGCCTGGGGTCTCCAGCACGGGAACTATGGCTGGCTTGGTGATGGCAGCCCCTGTTGACAGAGTAGTCTGTTAACTTGCTGAGGATTCACTCCCCCGGCTGATGGGCACCATCCACTTATGGATAAGGAAGCAGGCAGAGAGAACTCCAGGAAACCCACTCATCACCCAGCTTACCAACAAATCTAGTTGTTGAGCCAAAGTAGTGTGTCTCTGGGGGCTGTGATAAACCATGACCTTGTCCTGGCCCTTGAGATGCAGAAAGTGGCTTGAAATGTGGAACTTGGCACGGGGAGATGCTTCATGGGGATTGGCCGATCCTGGTGTACTGGCCCTCTCCGGTGCCTCTCTGGCTGCTGGGTCCCTCCCTTTGGCCTAGTTCAGTGCCTACATCACCAAGGCCACCTGCCAAGTCTGTCCTGCGTCTCATCCCAGACACCTTAGCATGAGGGAGTTATGTGTGCACGGGACTACTTCCCCGGCTTGGGTAGGGACTGTGTCTGGTGATCTCCATGTGCCAGCTCCACTGGCATGTCCCTGGTATGCCTGCCACCGAGAAGCCCAGGACTGCGTGATGCCTCTGTGTGTCAAGATCAGGCACCAGGGAGCTGAGGGTTGGGGCCATCTTAAGAGTGACTTCCTATTTAACAGAAATGATCCATTTTTTCCTATGTTTTCAACATGCAGGATAGTGGAATATTCAGTTGTGGTTGAATCAGGGGGCAGTGAACTTAGAATTTCAAATCATGTTAGAAACTATATTGAAAGGAAGGTGCCCATCTCTGAATCACACAAGTGATAGATATTTGAAGGTAAGACAAACTGTATGGTACATCAGAGTCAGTATAATCCACAGCATTTCAAAGACAGCATAGTTAGCTGGTGATTTACATCTGCTTTTATCTTTACTGTCATAAACATATAGGAATCCACCTGGGAAATGGTCATATTTATGTTCTTGTTTTTTAAATTCAACCTAAAGTTTTGGTAATAAAGGAATACTCCTAAGGAAAAAGAAAAAAAAAAAAAAAGAGCGACTTCCTGTGCCCAGCCAGCCTGGAGCTGGGGTAAGCCATTGTGAGAAGAGCCTGTCTAAGAATGAACCTGGCCTTGGGCTTTGGCCTCCTGACCAGCATAGATGGTAGGGGGTTTGGAAAGCCTGAACGATGTGGGTAAGTTTTCATCAGGGCACCAAAACGGCTGCTGTGAGCATGTGTTTAGGCCGCATGCTGTTCTGTCCCTCCTCAGCAGATGTTCCTGGCAGTGGCAACCTTTTTTGCTTCCGACTCTAATGAACTCGGGCTGAGAGGTCAAGAATTCACCCACTTAGATGCTTGTCAGCCCCTTGGGCCTGTGTTTCAGATGAGTTGGGGCTCTGGCCTCTCAGCTTCCTTTCTGGCTCTGCAGGCTGGGCTGAGCAGTTCCAAGCTCTCTGTGTCCAAGGCCCTCCCTCTCACCAAAGTGGTTCAGAACGATGCCTACACTGCTCCTGCTCTCCCTGCCTCTGTCCGAACAAAAGCCTTGACCAACATGTCCCGGACGCTGGTGAACAAGGAGGAACCCCCCAAAGAGCTGCCACCTGCTGAGGTGAGCAGTGTTGGGTGGTCGGTGTGCTGTATGCACCCCAGTGGGTCCTCGAAACGTCCCTATGAGTAGGTATTGCCACTCATTTACAGATGAGCAAACCCAGACTGCCATCACCATGTGTAGTAGCACAGTGAGGGTTTTCTGGAGCCATGAGGGAAGGGCATCTCCTGCCCCCTCAAGCTGGGAAGGCAAGCAAACCGCTGAGCTGGCTGGGGCCTGCAGGGCCTGCTGTGTAGGGAGCACCCTCGTTCCTTTGGCACAGGTGGGGGTGTGGGGACCCTAGGGTCCATGGGCCTGGTGGTGATGGGCTCTGGAGCTGGGGTGAGGTCTGTGTGTGTACCCCACCCTTCCACTCCTGCTCATGCTCTTGTCTGTGCAGCCTGTCCTCAGCCCCTTGGAAGGTACCAAGATGACTGTGAATAATCTACACCCTCGAGTCACCGAGGAGGACATTGTTGTGAGTACTGTGGCGTGCGGGATTTTATGTCTTAAACTGCTCTAGTGGCACAGGAGCCCGGGACTACTGGCAGTTTGATGATTGCCGGAGCTCACAGCACTGGCATGTGTCCATGATGGGGGCTGAGGTTCATTATAGCACAAGGATAGGCTCGTGCCGGCCAAAGGAAGAGGCACGGCCCTCATGGGGCACCAGTGGAGTCACCCAGGCTGCGCACTGTTCCTCCAGCATCAGTGGCACAGGGACCGAGGCTTCCTTGCCCAGGGCTTTTACTGGGGAGTAGACACGAAGGCATTCTCTGCCTGGTGTGTGCCAAAATTCCCTGTGTGTGTGTATGTGGTACTGGGGAGTGAGCTGAGATAAAGCCTCTGCTCTGAGCCCCAGCACTAGCCTTTTTTTATTGTTTGAGACAAGAGTCTTGCTAAGTTGCCCAGGCTGGGCTTGAACTTGCAGTCCTCTTGCCTCAGCCTCTCAGAGTGCTGGGATTACAGGTGTGCAGCACCAGGCCCAGTTCTCCTGCACCCTTCAGACCAAAGCCGCCTCCCTCCCCTGGATCTTGTGTCACGGTGTCTGTGGCCTTGTGGGTCCCATGTAGTCTCCTTCAGTCTGCTGTGCAGCATCCAGTAGCGAGTGTTTCCCCGTTCTCTGCACTTCCTGCTGCCTTGAGTGTGGTGTGGTGACCCATGTTAGAAAATCCTAATGGGTTGCCTTCTTGGTGCATTCTGTTTTACCCCCTGGAAAGTGGGGTCTGGAGTTAGCTGGATTTCCTTTTCAACCTCATTTTCCCCAGGTGTGTAGAAATCCAGGCACCCTTTGAGCGGTCAGATCATGAAATGAGCATAGCTGGGACAGCTTTGGCAGTTGGGTTCCAGGAGCACCTGTGCTGGCCATGGTGCCTGTCAGTCCTCACTGAAGTACGTGAGCTCTGAGTGAGGACTGGAACCGAGCAGGCCTGATGGTCAGGATGCACATCCTGCTCTTGGGGATGCCTGGAACGTGCTGAAGAGCAGCTTTTCCAGGTTTCAAAAGCAGTGGTGGGTGTGGCAGTGTGCACCTGTAACCTCACTTACCTGAGAGGCTGAGTGAGCCATAGTGAGCTCAAGGCCAGCCTGGGCCGCCAGAGTGAGAAGGTAGTAACAGCTGGCACTCACTGAGCACTTCCTGTGTGCCAGGGACTTCGTGTGAAGGGGCTTTGAAGAGACCTGCAATGGTCACCACCCAGAAAACTCAGTAATAATCACACTAAATTACTGCTCTTCTACCCAAGTAGGTAACTGTAAAAGAACAACAGAGCTGCATATGGTGACCCAGGCTGTAACCCCAGCTTCTTGGGGGGTGGAGTCAGGATTGCAAGTTCGAGGCCAGCCTGGGCAACATAGTGAGACCCTGTTTCAGAAAAAGCTCAGAAGGGCTAGGGGGAGGTACAGGGCTTGCCTAGGACGCACAGGGCCCTGGATTCAGTGCCCAGTACTACAAAGAATATAAAAACAATGCAGTAGTAATGAAGTTGGGAACACATCTAGTATCCTACACCTTGGCTTTGATATGTAACACTTTCCCCTTTATTGTAAAAAACAGATTTCAAGAGCTTTTTCACAAGCCTTTTTGTCCTCACGATAGCCATGTGAGGAGGGTGCAGATGAGAACAGTGAGTGCTAACACACCTCCACAGGATTTCTCTCGGTCATGGTCTCCCTGTCAGAGCAGCGGTGATGACAGCATGTACAGAGCATGCCTTAGAAATGACCTCGGTGAGCTTCCCAACGACCCTGGGAGGAGGCTCGAGCAGGCCGCATTCTCAGAAGAGACAGTTCAGAGAGGTTAAACGTACAAATGCTCACAGCACTAGAAGGCAGAATCCCTGGGCCCAGACCCCCATGTCTGACTTAGTGTGACCAGCTGTCGCAGTTTGCTAGGACACTCCCTAGTCAGCACTCAGTCTGTATCCTGGGAAACTCTTGAATCCACTTGTCAAGACCATTGGCCACTCGTAGTTCTGAAGGATTCCCGGGTGATGTTTAAGCACCTGTCCTAGGTGAGCCTGCACATCCATGCTCAGGATGGAGCTCTGGGGGGAGACATTCCCTAACCATGACCCTCCTGAGAGTGCACTGAGAGCTCTGGTGCTGACCCAGTGGGAGGTCACAAGCACCCAAGGCTTGTACGCTCAGGTGCCCTTCTCACTGCCATTGCAAGCTGGCTTGGACCTGGCCTGGGGTGGCGCCTGAGTGTCTCAGGACTCTGAGCTGAAAAGGACCCTGCCTAAGGTCTCGGGCACCCAGCATGGCACACACAGCCTGTGGGTAGTGAGGGGCAGCAGCAGGAAATCCCCTCAGCCCGTCCCTGTTCTTTGCAGGAGCTTTTCTGTGTGTGCGGAGCCCTCAAGAGAGCACGGCTGGTTCATCCTGGGGTGGCAGAAGTGGTCTTTGTAAAGAAGGATGATGCCATCACTGCATATAAGAAATACAACAACCGCTGTCTGGATGGTAAGTCGGGGGAAAGCGGCCACCTTGCCTTCTCCTCCCATGCGGGCAGCAGGCTGTGGGCCTCTCAGGCAGCTTCCTGTGAGTGGTGGAGAGTGTCCTGGGATGGCCACCCTTCCATGGCCTCCTGCACACCAGGACCAGGCGAGGGTCCCAGTCTCTGAGGCAGGTGGAGCGTGTACTTGCCCAGCAAGAAGGCGAAGCCCATTTCCCTGTGGAAGGCTCTCTGAGGCGTCTGGCCAGGGAAGCCAGGCGCTGCTGCCTCCCTCCTAGATGTCTTTGATGGTGGGAGCCTCGTTTAATTATGCTCCTGGGTGGCCTCTGCTCCTCTCAGGCCTGGAGAGGACGGGCTCCGCAGCCTTTTTGGCTTACTGGTTCTTCCAGCTTTATTGTATGTCTGCTGTGGGCCGGGGCCTGGGCTGCAGTGGGGAACAGAGACTGAGGGAAACAGCCAGCTAGTATTTTCATATGTTCTCCCAGATGATGAATGGTGTTGACCCTCCCTCCCTCCCTCCCTTCTTTCTGTGGTATTGGGCTTGATGAGGGCCCTCACACTGAGCTATACCCTCTTCGCTTTTTAAATTTTGAGGCAGGGTCTCACTAAGTTGCCTCCTCTCAGAACTTGGCTTGAACTTGCCATCCTCTTGCCTTGGCCTCCTGAGTAGCAGGCATTCAAGCTTATGCTGCTACCCCAGCTGCCTTCCGTAGGTTTTGATGTGTGGTGTCTGTTTCTGTTCATATCATAGTGTTTCCTAATTTCCCTCTTGGTTTGACTGTGTTGTTTAGGATTGTTTAACTCCTGTATATTTATGAATTTCCCAAAGTCTCCTTGGCAGGAAGGGGAGTGTGTGCTCTGCTGCCCTGGGTGGAGTGCTCTGTGATGCCACCTGTGTGTGGCGAGTACAGTGTCATCATCTGTCTTTTGGTTCATTCTCGGTCTGCCTGATGGTTCTAGTCATTTTACAGAAAGTATCAAAATTTTCAGCCATTGTTATTATATACATCTCACTTCATTTATCTTGGGTTTTATTTTGTGGATTTTTTTTTAAGAAAAGGAGGTTTATTTTGGCTCATGTATTTTGTGTATTTGAGGCTCTGTTTTTACTTGGGTTTGTGTTATAATTCTTTTTTTCCTAAGGATTTGGCCTTTTACCAGTTGAAAGTGCCTCCCCCCCTTTTTGTTTCTTGCAAGACTTTTTCTTTTTGGTTTTTTGAGACAGAGTCTCACTATGTAGTTCAGGCTGTCCTTAAACTCACTATGTAGCCCAGGCTGGCCTCAGCCTCCTGGGTGCTTGGGATTACAGGCATGCACTACCATGCCTGGCTTTTGCAACTAAGTCTACTTGTCTTTCCTTAGTGTAGCTGCTCTGGCTTTCTTAGCATGGCTGTTGTGTGATATATCTTCCTTCATCTTTTTAGTTTTCACCTCTCTTCAAGAGCAAGGTGTCTGTCATAGACAGCTGTAGGCAGCACTGCAGTTCTGCTTCAGACTACAGCCTGGGCACTGTATAGTAGCAAGATTGTCTCAAAAAAGGGAAAATATAGAGCATTTATCCAAGTTTACCTTGGTTTCATCATGGCGGATGGCATTGTGACAGGAGCACCTGTGGAAGGCACCATGTGGCAAAACAGCTGGAGAGCAGCTAGGCCCCCTGGGAGCCATAGTCACCTCACCTGCCTGCCCTAAGGTGGTGGCCTGGCCAGGTCACCTCATGAAGGCGCCTGCTTCTCAGCATTCACCTGGAGATGGAGCTCTCCACACCCGGACCTGTGGGGAAGGCCGTGTCCACACCACAGTGTTGACCTAGGGAACAGAGGGGCCCTCTCTTCTTCTGTGTGAGGAGCAGAAGTGTTGTGACCATGCCTTTTCTTCCTCTGGTGTTTCAGGGCAGCCTATGAAATGCAACCTCCACATGAATGGCAACGTGATCACCTCAGACCAGCCCATCCTGCTGTAAGTCCCAGGGCTGGGCACAGGGACGGGGCTTGTCTACTCGCTGACTCTGTGTCACAGCTTTGTTCCCTCTGCTCTGTGCTGCTGACAAGTGTTCAGCCAGGACCCTTCCTGCCCAAGGGCTGGCCCGACAGAGGCTGGCACTGTCTTCCTCATCCTCCTGTGGTTTTGAGATCACTGCGAGCCAGGGGAGAGCCGGCTGCTGTGTGCAGCCCTGCCCCGCTGTGTGCATCTCCAAGCTTGTTGCACACACTGCACATGGCGCAGTTGTGCTCGCTGCTACTGAGGGCTCATTGGAGTCCAGGAGGCATCAAATGCTGAGGCTGCTGGGACGCCTTGAGACATGGAGGCAGATACGAGGGCAGTGCAGGGCAGCCTGGAGAGATGGGCTTGGAGGTTTAGGAAGACTCAGACTTGGACCTGGTTAGTGAGTCATGGGATTTAGTTCTTAAGTGTGTTCTAGTAGCACATTGGGTTTTAAAAATGGTTTGTTTTGTTTTTTGAGACAGAGTCTCCCTGTATAGTAAACTCACTATGTAGCCCAGGCTGGCCTCAAACTTGCGGCGATCCTCCTGCCTCAGCCTCCTGAGTGCTGGGATTACAGGCGTGTGCCACTATGCTCATACTTCTCAAAAACGATTTTCAGGGCTGGGAATGTCATTCAGTGGCAGGGTACTTGGCTATCACGTATGTGCAAGGTCTCGTTCAGTTCCTAACACTGGAAAAACTTGGTTTTTAGGGTTTTATGACTGGTAAGTTTGGGGCTCTTGGGCTAACCAGAGCTGACTCACTTGTCTGACGCGCTAATGTATGTTCCCATCCTGGAGGGAAACAACAGTGTTTCCTAAACTTAGATCTCTGAGCACAGCAGGCTGGGTCGCAGTTTTCTTAGCAGTAAGTAAGGAAAACAACAGGATTGCTGTAGGATGAAGTGAGGGCCTCATGCCCAGTGCCCAGCTCTCAGCGGGTACCCGGAGTACAGGGTCCCCTCCTTGGCCCTGGCCCCTGACAAGGTTTCTCTTCTTGCCCTGCACAGGCGGCTGAGTGACAGCCCCTTGGTGAAGAAGGACAGCGAGCTGCCTCGGAGGCTGAACTCGGCCTCCTCTGCCAACCCACCTGCCGAAGTGGACCCAGACACCATCCTGAAGGCGCTCTTCAAGTCCTCCGGGGCCTCTGTGACCACACAGCCCACAGAGTTCAAAATCAAACTGTGAGCAGGGCAGGGCAGCTCGGAGCAGGGCAGAGGAGGGCGGCCCTGTTCCTCGGTGGGCATTGAACTGCAGCCCCTGGCCTGGGAAGGGTTGCCAGGATCGAGCTTCCTCGATGGATGGGACCCACCCTTCTGTGTTGTGTCTGTGTTTGCACATTTCCCTTAGTATGTCCTTCCCTTCCACCTGTCACCCCCTGGGCAGGGTGTGTTTCTTGGGGTGACCCTGCCCTCCACCCCGAGCTGGCTGCTGACCTGGAAGCAGTGTGCTCACTTGCCTGGGCAGCTTTGTGCGGGGCAGGACTATGTGAGACGCTGCTACTCGGGCCTGGGGCTGGCCTGATAGGGCTGGGGCAGCTTGGGAACAGTGACACTAGCTCAGCAGCCACCTGCTTGGTGGCAGTGGCCCTAGGGTCACAGCCTTGTCCCCTCACCACAGCCTTGCACTCCACAGTGCTGTGGCTCTGTGGGCACTCTGCAGGGAGATGCTGCTTTGTTCCTGGCTCTGCCTTTCCAGCCCATGGTTGTCTGCAGGACAGAGCCAGGGATGCCAGCAGTATGTGTCCATTCAGCTGCCGCCGGGGGCACTGTCGCCACTGTTGTGAGTGACCCATCTGTCACTTGGCTGTGGGGAAATGGGAGGTGAGGAGCAGGTGGGCAGGCCTACCCACAGGACTGCAGGACGTGGTGTCAGTGCCCTAGAAAGGACTCCAGCTGGCAGGGCTGTCTGTAGCAGGTTAGGAGCAGGTTCTGGGAGCCACCTAGAACTAGTAGTGCGTGCTTTGAGGGGCACGAGCCTGGGAAGGAGGGGAGCCTGCTGCCTGAGCCTTGCATCTGCCAAGCAGGCAGGATCCAGTTTGCCCTCGTTTTCTGTGCTCAGGCTGAGGCTGCCCATACCAGGGAACTCAGCAAAGGGGCCTGGTGGCTTCCTTTGTCGTTCCTGAGCGAGTGCTGCTTTTCTCCTACCCCTTCCGGAGGGACAGACATTTCTCCTGCTTCACCCTCCTGGCCCAAGAGACCTACCTGGAAGGCCCTGGGACCTGGCTTCTTGTGTACTGGGGACAGTTGGAGCCCTGCTGGGCCTTGGGTTCAAGTAGTGATGTGCACACCCTGCCTGTGCGCTCCGCCCTCCCATCCCCTCCCTCCCCTGCAAGCAGGCTCTGCTCAGCAAGCTCCTGGCCAAATGGTCCACCGAGAGGATGGCACCTGTCTGCCTGCCCTGTCCTACAGGATGTCACCTTGGCCACTGGAAAGGAAGCCATGGGCAGCCCTGTGTCATCCTCGCCTCCCCTGCATTGCTCACCTGTGTTCTGTTCAGAAGGCGAGGAGGCAGCGTTAAGGGGCAAAGGTGACTTGTGTATTATCCATTTCTGAATAAACATTTGTTATTCCTACCTTTGAGCTGTGACTTCTTCATAGATTGTGCTTAGGTGGCTTTGGTGGGACCTGGCACCAGAAAGCAGAAGTTTGCCTGTTGGCTTGGCCACAGGATGCTCTGGTCTCCACAGTTTTGAGGTTCGCAGACAGGAAATGTGGGGCCTCTGCCGTGAAGAGTTCCACTTGGTGTAGTTACCTCGTGGGTGAATGATGGCACTGGAAAGAAGGATGTGTGCTTGGTTTTACTGCGGTACTAAAAGTTGATGGCAAATGATTGTCCCCTCCCTCCCTCTAAATACAGCTCGGCAGTTTATGCAACACATTATTAAAGCGGCTTGGATTTTTCACTTCTCTTGCACATAAATTTTGAAGTTCAAAAGCAAGCCTGAGGTGGAGAGAAGGGCAGACAGGCTGGGGACCTTGGGACCCAGGAAATGGCCAGCTCCGTCCTGGGATACTCTTCTGCTTTGCTTGCCCCTTGCAGATGCTAGAGAAGCCACCAACTTGGAAATGCCTGCAGGGACCCAATCAAGCAGTTTGTCCTCTTGAGTCCAGACAGAACCCCAGCCAGGTATGGGCAAGAAGCTGCAGCAATGGGTGTTTAGGTGCCGAGCCTGCCCTCATGCCAGGCTGTACTGGTGGTACCCCCAGACCTCCATAGTTGGTATTGGGGGCCGTGGGTTGGAGCATGAGGCTCCCACCTAGCGGTAGTGAGGCCTCCCTCCCGTCCTGATGCGAAGAGCAGAACTGAGCTTTTCCCATGCCTGGAAGGAACAGAGTGGTGTGCAGTGTGCCATACGGGAGACCTAACCAAGATGTGGGTCTCGTGATACCCAAGGTGGCCATGGTGTAATTGAAGTCACTTCCACCAAGAACCAGGAAAACCTCAGTGAATGAGAAAGAATGGATATCAATACCAAGATGACGTTCAGGAATTGAAAGAATCGAGACATTCTCAGATGAAACTAGGATTCGTTGGGATGGAGCGACCCTAAAAGGATGAATTAAAAAAAAAAGATTTTCTGTAGTCCCAGCTACTCTGCAGGCTGAGACAGGAAGATTGCAAATTTGATGCCACAGTGTGGGCCACTTAATGACAACATGTCTGAAAAATAAAAAGCCCACTGTGGTGGCCTATGCCAGCATTTGGGAGGCTGAGGCCGGAGGGCGGTGAGTTCTAAAGCCTGTGTGAACTATGGAGTAAGACTGCACTTTGCAGTAACAGTGACACATACACGTTATCTGTTTCTTTCCCTGTGAGAATTTAAACTCCAGAAAGATTCGACATGTTTTCATTTCTGTATCTAGCGCTTAGGACCGTGCCTGCAGAAGGAAGGAAGGAGAAAGGAGAGTGGGACAGGATAAAGGAAAAAAGGGAGAGTTTGAGTGCGCATCTCTGAGCCGCCAAATCAACGCTCACATTTGCTCTGGGCAATGGAAGGTTGGGTCCCGGGGGGCGGGGCGGGGCCTATGAGGCGCCGTCGCAGTAGAAACGCGTACGCATCCCGCGCCGGACTACATCTTCCAGCGGCCCCTGCGCTTCGGGATAGTAAGATGGTGGCGCGCGGTAGGAGGAAACGTGCGGTGCAGGACACGGAGGGGCGCCTTCCGAGCCCCCTGGGCTACTCAGGTGAGCGCTTTGGGGACAGGAGGTCGGGGGAATAATCAGGCTTCGCTGGGAGATGGTCTGAGGGTTGACAGTGGCTGGGGAGTCGCAAGAGCGGCCGCGTGGTTGGGCGCGAGTCCCGGCGGCCCTGGGCCCCGGACGTTCGTGAAGCCCAGGGACTAAAGACCATGCGGCGCTCTTGTCTGTGCACACTGTGAGCTGAGCGAGCCCCGCTGGGTGCTGGCATTCGTCAAAATGGCGGTCCCTCCCCGGGCGCGGAGCCACACAACTGAAATCCCAGCACTCTGGGAGACAGGCAGGAGAATCACAAGTTCGAGCCCAGCCTGGGCTACTTAGTGATTTAGCGAGAGCCTGTCTCAAGAAGAAGTTGGGAAAACAACAACAAAAAAGTTGTCAGGGCAGCTTGGTGCGAATGTCCTGGGTTCAGTCCCCAGTACCATACACACACAAAGCTGTCCCTGACTTATTGGCTTATTAGAAGCTCTCTGCCATCCTATCACTGCATGCGTTTCCATAGTTGATACAAGCATGCCATCAGTCTTGTTCGTGGCAATATGAGCTTCCTAGCCAGGCGTGGTGGTGCACGTCTGTAATGCTGTAAAAGCAGACCTAACAGTCCACGGTGTGGCAGCTCTGATCAGGCCAAGAAAAATCGCAAACGCACCCGGAGGTTGGAGGCAAGTGTATAGCTTTATTACACTGGTGGACTGACCGGGGATTTTTCCACAAAGCAATCAACCTGGAGCTGGCAGTGAACAGGGTCTATATGGGTTAAGGGAAGAGGGATGGGGATACAGAAGCAAGGCATTTATCATATCAGTTCATTGGCTGAGGAAGTTACACTTAGTTTACATGATTCGATAGAAAAGTACACTGGATACATTTACTGAGAACAAATGACAGTGAAGGAGGACCTGTGTTAGGTGTGAGAGAGGGTATGATCTGGGAGTGGCTCTGTCAGTTCAGTCAGCTAGCTGAAGGCAAAACCTTTTTTTGCTCAGAAATCGTTTTCTGGCTCCATACCACTTTCGGGAGGCTGAGGCAGGAAGATTGATGCAGGGTCGAGGCCAGCCTGTAATACGTAGCGAGACTGTCTCGAAAAAACATTGTGATCACTGTGATGAAAGGTCCAAACATTCGCAGTTTCCACCAGAATTCAAGACATGTTGGCAGTACCTTCCTTGGAAGTCTGACTGACCTAAGGAAAACAACAACAACAACAAAAAACCATTGTGAGCTTCCTGAATGGGAGGCCTGCCCCTGTGTCCTCACTGTGACAACAAAAAGCCAGAAAACACCCCCCAGCTTCCTGAAGATTAGCATTTGTAGAATGCTGGCGATTAAGCAAAAAGTCCCACACATGCCAGCTGTGAAGGCCCAGAGCAGGTGGATCTGACTGGCCTGAGGCTTGCACGTGAAGATCAGGCCTCTTGAGGAAGCAGTTTCAGCAAATGGGTGGAGGGAAGAGGGTTGATGGCCAAACAGCGTGTGTGATAGATAGCCAGCTTATTGGGGTAGCCATCTGGTGTGGGGAGAATGGTGCAAGACAAGGACCCAGTGCCAGGTGGGGTCACGGAGCTGCCAGCCCGGCCAGGGTTCGGGCGCCTCCCCCCGAGAGCCGCAGAGGTGGCTCTCCCCTCTGCTCCCCATCCATCATAGTTGCCAGTTACATTCTCTCCCCCGCCAGCCTGGAAGGCCCCTTGGGTAGATTATTATTTGTTCACTCTCAAGCCTGCAGAGGTGTCACCTAGGAGGAGAGCTTTATGAAGGATGGAGGCATAGATGGATAGGCAGGACAAGGGAGGGACACGGAGAAAGGAAATCCTGTGAATTATTAGGTGCTGACCTCAGCTCGGGGCAGTCTGAACTCATTCCTGCCTCCATTTCCCTTTCAGCTGTTCCAATCAAGTTCTCAGAAAAGCAGCAGGCTTCTCATTACCTCTATGTGAGGGAACACAGAGTTCGAGAAGGTGCCCAGTCCACCTGGCCTCAGAAGCGCACTCTGTTTGTCCTCAATGTGCCCCCGTACTGCTCGGAGGTGAGTTCATGGCCTGCCAGGAGAGGGCTCCCTGGCCCCTAGCAGATCTTTGGGGGTGAGGAGAATTTGCTAATGGAGTCCTCTATCCCTTGTGGCAGGCAGGAAATCAGTTTAAAAATGTAATTCCAAAGCGGCATGGATGGCACACGCCTACAATCCCAGCACTCTGGGTGGCTGAGGCAGGGGTGCAAGTCCAAGCCCAACCTGGGCAGTTTGGCAGCTTGCCAAGGTCTTGTCCCGAAAAATCAAAAGAAGGGCTGAGGTGTAGCTCAGTGCAAGGTCCTGGGTTCGACCCCTAGTACCCCCTCCCCCCCCAAAAGAAAGAAGGGGCCATGTTACTGAGAGAAAGGGAAGGCCTGGGCTGTAGGTGTGCAGCTTGTGGCTGTTCACAACCTGAACACACTGTGTAGTCAGCACCCAGCCTGAGAAGTGTCACCGTCCCCCGGGGGTCCCCTCGTGCCCCTCCTATCAAGGATCACAAGTTCTGATTCTACTAGTGTAGATTTTTTATTTTGGTACCGGGGATGGAACTTAGGACCTTGCGCTTGCGAGGCAGGCGGCGGCCCTCTACCAGCGTAGATTTGACTTTATTTCTGACTTAGGTAGTGAAACTTAGTTGTTTTATAATGTTAGAATACCACCAGAGAAGTCCCCATCTTCCTTAGACTGGGGGCATGGGGACACCTGTTCCTGCATTGTCCTTCTGGGATCTGGTCAGCAGACAAGGTACCTGGGTGGACGTGGGCTCTGCTCCTGCTGTCACCAGCATAGGTGGGGAGGCTCCAGGGACGGCCCTGCGGTCACTCACTCTGCTCCCCTTGGCAGGAGTCCCTGTCTCGCCTCCTGTCCCCCTGCGGCCTGGTCCAGTCTGTGGAGCTGCAGGAGAAGCCGGACCTTGTGGAGAGCCCAAAGGAGCCCAAGTCCAAGTTTTTCCACCCCAAGCCTGTTCCGGTAGGGCCCCAAGTCCCGAGTCCCACAGCATGGTGTGTGGGCTGGGCCAGGGTGGCATCCCAGTGTGTTGGGGAGGTGGGCTGGCAGTGTGCTTCCCGAGTGCTCTCTGTGGTCCTGCCCCGGCTCCACAGTGTGTGTCGGGGTGGTGGCTTCCAGCTTTGTCTCCAGTACACCTTGTCCTTAAACTCCCGGCCAGGTGTTAGCTGTGGCCTGTTGTTAAAGCTCAGGGACATTCACTGCCGCCGCCCTGCATGGCTGAGCCCACACCTCCTCCCGGGTTCGAGTGCCCCTCACACTCCCCATGCCAGTCCTGGCTGCCAGGCGGTGCCCTGGCCTGGGTGAGCCTGCTTTTCACCAAGTCTCTCCCGAAACTGGAAGAAAGTCCCTGGTCCCCAGGGGAAGAGCTGGAAAAGGTGTCCCTTCCAGCAGCACTTGGAAAACTAAAAGTGTGGCTGTCCCTCACCTGGACATGGGGTGGCCTTGGTCATCGAGGCTCAGGAGGAGCCTGGGGTTCCCAGGCTGGGCATGGGGAGGGCTGCCCACACTGGCTTCTCCCCCCAGGGCTTCCGGGTGGCCTACGTGGTGTTCCAGAGGCCCAGCGGAGTGGCTGCCGCCTTGATCCTGAAGGGCCCCCTGCTGGTCTCCACTGAGAGTCACCCTGTGCGGAGTGGCATTCACAGTCAGTACCGCTGGCGGTGCCCGGTGCCCCCTTCCTGGGCCTGGCTTGGCAAGGGCAGCTTCCTGGGGACACATCTGCTATCAGCTGTGTCCTGCCCATGGGTGCTGGTGGGCAGGGGTGAGGACCTGGCCTGCTGTCCCTGGCACCTTCTGAGCCCCTGCACTCCGGACCACCAGTCTCCAGTCCCCGTGCCCCACCCCAAGCTCCTGACCCCCTTGTGGTCCTGTGGGGCCCAAGTGTCAGCCTGCTGAAGGTGGTCTTGCTCCCTTCTCAGAGTGGATCAGTGACTATGCAGATGCGGTGGCTGACCCTGAGGCCCTGCGAGTCGAGGTGGATGCGTTCATGGAGGCCTATGACAAGAAGGTTGCCGAGGTAGGCGCTCCCTCGGGGTTGCTGGGGGAAGAGGGTCACAGTAGCATGTGACAGCCTGGTCTCGTCACTGTGTGGAGTCCAGGCTCCATTGTTCCCTGTGTGTCCTGGGCTGCCTGGCTGGGTGACAGAGTCTAAATGGTCGGTGGGACAGAGGAGGAGGTGGCCTCTGCCACCCCGGGCTTAGCCCAGCCCTGCCGTGGGGATGAGGGTTAGCAGGTGCTTGTAGTTCCCAGGGTGGGACAATGTGAGGCCCACTGACCCCAAGACTGTGTCCTCTGCAGGAGGAGACCAAGGCCAAAGGGGAGGAAGGGGTCCCGGATGAGGAGGGTTGGGTGAAGGTGACACGCCGGGGCCGGCGGCCTGTGCTGCCCCGGACGGAGGCCGCCAGCCTGCGGGTATTGGAGCGGGAGAGGCAGAAGCGGGCGCGCAAGGAGCTGCTCAACTTCTACGCTTGGCAGCACCGCGAGACCAAGATGGAACGTAAGGAGCGGGTGCCGGGTGACACCAGCCCGGGGCGGGGAGGGCAGTAGCCTTCAGGTCTCGAGCACCAGTGCCCTGAAGCCCTGGGGTGCAGGAACCTCCACGTCCCAAGCCCTGGAATCTGCCAACCTGCAGCCAGCACAGGGTGGACCTTGGGGTGGCTCTGGCTCAGCCGTGGGCACACAGGACTCTGTGGTATGGGCCGCACCGCCTGGTGTCGTGGTTTCAGGACAGCAGTTTCCCCTCTGCCACCACCCTGACCCCACCCTGCACCTGCTCTCGTCCTCTTCCGGGACCCTGGCTTCACCCAACAGCAGTCTCTTCAGCCCTCTAGTCCCTGCCCACCCTATGCCCAGGGTCCCCCGGGGACCAGAGTCACTGCCGGAGTTCGGTGGCACTGGGCCTCCCCAACTCCTGAGGCCTCCCTGTGGGGACAAGTCTGGGCCGAGGTCCCCCGCTTCTGCCTCTCCTTGGAGACACCCTGCACAGTATTTTCTCCGAGCTTCCTTTGCGAGGTCCAGCCTTGACCTCTGAGCGCCCTGTGGTTAAGTGGATTCCGGCACAGGTTCCCCAGAGCAGAGGGGTGGGCTTGGGGAGGTGGTGGGAGCCCCTAGAAGTGGAAGGGGCCCAGTGCCTGGGGAACCACAGGCACTGCCCAACACCCCCTTTGTCCCTCCTGTCCCCAGACCTAGCACAGCTGCGCAAGAAGTTCGAGGAGGACAAGCAGAGGATTGAGCTGCTGCGGGCCCAGCGCAAGTTCCGGCCCTACTGAGCTGCAGGAGCACATGGGGTGGGTGCTCCGGGGAGTGGGCACCAGGCTGAGCAGCTCCAGTGTGAAGCCACCAGGGGCCCGTCCTGGGCCTGGTGTTGGGGAGGCCTCCCCAGCGAAAGGACGGCCCACGGGAAGCAGCTCTGTCCCTACCACCTGGAGCGGCAGTGAGGGCCCTGTGGTAGGGAAGCAGCCCCTAGGAGTGAAGGACAGGAACGTCTTATTTCCCTTCGAGCTAGCAGCACAGGGGGCTCCGGAAGCCCAGGAGGCCTGGTCCCAGGCCTTGCTTCCTTTACATACCCTCAGACCCAGAAACCCTCCCCTGCTTTTTTCTTTTCTTCCTTTATGTGGTATTGGGACTTGGACCCAGGGTCTTCACACTGATCTACTTCCCCAGCCCATTTTTGAGACACTAAGCTGTCCAGGCTGGGTTTAAACTTGAGATCCTCCTACCTCAGCCTCCCAGAGTACTGGGCTTACAAGTGTGTGGCCAGCTTAACTGTTCCCTTCTGAAGTCACAGATGTTCAAGTCAGCATCTTGGCCCCTTCCACTGGCTATGCCAGCAGGCTCTGCTGTCCACCTTGGTCTTCTAGACCTTTGAGCCCCGATCCCTCCCCCGCCTCGCGGGGCTGGGAGCTCAGAGTCCACGTGGAGGCTGGCAGGTCTGGTGGCTGTGAGGTCCTGGGACCCTGTGCAGCTCTGTAGGAAGCTGCTGCTGCCAACACGGTGGGACGTTCATGTGGACGGTGATTGCCCAGGACCTCTGAAAATGAACTGCTGGAGAGGGGCATGTGGCAAGGGCCATGTTGCTGCCCACCATGGCCAGCTGGACATGGGCTCTCTGGGGCCTGCTGCCTCCCAGCCATGGTGTCCAAGCCCCAGGCACGCGGAGGCCACCTGGGGCCCTGGGCCACCTGAACTGGAGAGGCCACTGTCAGGGCCACCGCCGAGCCTGACGGCTGACTAGGACCCCCGAAAGGACAGGGTGGAGCTGGCTTGGGACCCCTCCCCCGGGCTGTCCCTGACTGCCCCCTCAGCCAGCATGGGAGGCTGCGTGAGTGGATGGGGACCGTGAAGTGCCAGGGAATCACAGGGGTGCAGGTGGGGCCCAAGTCAGCACCAGCCTTGCCCCTGCTCTGCAGCACACACCCGTGCTCATGGGCCGGGGAAATGGCCGGGAAATGGCCATGATAGGGAAGTGCTGCACAATAAAACAGACCCTTGCCTTGCCTCCATTTCTGTTTTTTTCCAGAGAATGTTTTGTTTTGGAAATATAAGTTTGTGCTGCTGGGCTCCTGCCCTGTGTATCAAAATACTTTGTGACGGAATTGTGTGACCTTCCAGGAATGTTCTGTTAAGCTCCACCTCCTCAGGAATATTCTGTATGAATGTTCTAACTCCACCCCTCTGCTTCAGGAATGTTCTGTAACTCCACCCCCCTGCTTCCTTGAGCATCCTCACCTACCCTGTAGATCCCTATGGAAGGAGGCTCTCATTTCTGGTAGAGTGCTCAGACTTCCCTGAGCCCCCTGGTGGCTTGCGGGTAGTAAAGGTTTTCTTCTCCACCTTTCCAACTGACCATCAGATTCTCAAGTCTTCAAATGATGAGAGCTGTGTCCCAGAGCCGCCACACTGAATTGTAAAAATCTCAGCTGTGCCTCAGAGCTGTGGCACTGAGCTGCTCTGCTGCAGCAGGGGCCCCCAGGTGCGCCTGACCCAGGGAGGACAATAAATCTGGAGGATTCTACCAATCACGGGTCTTCCCGTCCTGGACACTGATGACATGTGGCCCTGGGCCTCTAGGGACTGCCCCAAGGGTGAGAGGCCTGCCAGCCCTGTACATCAGAACACTTGTGGGCCCTGTGGCAGGGAGGATCGGACAGATGCATGTGTAGCTCACTTCCCCAGGACCGTGCACTGTGAGCACCATGAAGAGCACAGGCGCTCCCTGTTGGTGCTCGAGTCTCACCTCGTAGAAGCCCTGCACTGCTCTGTGGAGTGGACTTGGTTCCTCCTGGGAGTGCCCCACTAGTGCCCCACTCTGCTGGGCTTGGGGCCTCAGAGGTGCCAGGCCTGGCCCCGCTGTGACACCCCCCACCCTACGTTCAGTCTTCGGTGCATTCAGCACCAGCTCGCACACAGCTGCTCCTGGGTAGCACAAGTAAAGTGAGACAGCCTGCTGGATGCCTCTGGGAGGCTGCGGTGGGAGGATCACAAGTTCCAGCCCAGCCTGGACAACTTAGGTCCTGTCTCAAAAAATAAAGGGCTGGGGTGCCGGGGATTTAGCTCAGTGGTTTTGCCGTCTGCTGCCCAAGCGCAAGGACCTGAGTTCGATCCCTGGTACCAAAAAAAAAAAGGGCTGGGATGTAGCTCAGTGGGAAGGCCCTGCATTCCATCCCCACTACTACAAAAAAAAAGTAGTGTGCTGGAGACAGAGTGTATGGACTTGTACACTGTCACGGCCACTGGATTCAAGGGCTGGGGTGGAACAGGCTTTGGTATTTTAAGCTTCACTGAGGCAGTTTTTTTGTTTTTTTTGGTACCAGGGGTTGAACTCTGATCTTGTTTTTTTTTTGGTACCGGGAATCAAACTCGGGTCCCTGCGCTTGCGTAGCAGGCGGCAAAACCACTGAGCTAAATCCCCAGCCCTGAACTCTGGATCTGGATCTGGCCCTTGCAAGGCAGGCACAGCGCCACTGAGCTAAATCCCCGAGCCCAAGTACAGTTTTAATTTTTTTTTTTCCTGATACTAGGGCTTGAACTCAGGACCTTGCACTTGTGAGGCAGGCGCGGTGCCACTGTGCTAAATCCCCGGCCCTCCAAGGTACAGTTGTTGTACCATACACTCCTCCCATGGAAAGTGCACAATACCATGGTTTGGGTAGATTTGCCTCTGCTACAGCACAGCAACGTCCCAATAACTCCATGGCAAGTTGAAAACAAGTGGACAGTACATCATGTCCCGGCCACACAACACATTGTTGCATCCTAGTCCCCCCTCCATGATCCTGGGGCTGACAAGGAGCACCCCCCCACACACCCCGCTAGCGTCAGGACCAGCGTCAGGACCAGGAGGACCAGGAGGAGTCAAACCCTGAATGAGGTTTCTGCTGAGCACATTTCCCTTCTGCATCACTGGCAAATGGGACACAGACACACACACACACCAGCCACCGAGTCAGGTCTCCCAGACCCCTGCTGGGCGGTGTAGGGGTGGCCCCCTGCCCAGTTCTCCCTTGGAGTGGCAGCCAGGTCCCATGCCAGGATGCCTTCCCTGTCTGACTTACTTAATGCCCAGGTCAAGGGCCCACAGCTACTGGATGCAGAGCAGAAACAGCTCCCTGCTGAGGAAGTCTAAACAGAGCTAGGGCTGCAGAGAAAACTGCGGTGACACCTTGCCATGGGGCACTGCACCCCGGAGGGCCCAGCTCAGCCCCACACCTCCTCCTCGAGGCCGCCTCAGCCCCACCCCCCAACCCCCCTAGGCCTTGCTTGGACTCTGGTCTGTCCCCAGGAGAAAAACTGGCTTGGACCACAGTGCAGAGTCCACCATGGTCTCCCCAGCCTCTGCTGGCCCCGGCCCTGTGGTCGGTATCGGAAGTGCAGACATCAGCCGTGTGTGGTCACCCGGAGAGCTGGGGAGTGTGTGCTGGCCTTGGAAGACTTAATAGGGAAAATAGTGCAATTGACTCCTATATTGGTTGATTCAACCCAAGGCCTTCAGACTAAGCTACATCCCCATGGTGTTATTTTGAAACAGGACCTTGCTGAGTTGCCCAGTCTGGACTTGAACTTGTGAACCTCCTGCCTCAGCTTTCCAGGCTTCTGGGATTACAAGTGTATGCCACAGCTGGGCCTGTGCTTTACCTCTTCAAATGATCACATCTTACGTACATGGACTTAAAGATAAAATATTACTTTCAGGCTTAGTGGTAGATGCTTGGTGAATATGTGAGACTCTGGGTTCCATCCCCAGCTCAGCCAAAAAAAAATTTGTTTTAACTTCACTTGTTTTCCTGTTTTGTTTTTTTCTTGGTCCCGGGGATCAAACTCGGGACCTTGCACTTGCAAGCCAGGAGGTGGCACCACTGAGCTAAATCCCCAGCCCCTAACTTCACTTGTTTTGTTGTTTTCTTTTTTGGTTTTTTGAGACTGGGTCTTGCTATCTAGCCCAGTCTGTCCTCAAACTCAGGTGATCCTCCTGTCTCAGCCTCCTAAGGTGCTAGGATTACAGGTGTGCACCACCACGCCTGGCCTGAGCCAGTTGTTGAAGAAGTTATGGGTATAACTTGGAGCACAGTCCAGCTCACAAGGGCCTTTTACGCATGGATTCAGGCTGTGACCTTGATGCAGTGGCTGCCCTGGCCCCCAAGTTGCTCCAAGGGTCCTCCTCGGGGACAGCACTGCTCTGACTGGTGAATTCTGCTCTTTCGGGTGTCACACACTGAGCCGTCTTTGTTGCTGGCTTCTTTCCCTCCACAAATGCACCTGTATGAGCCTTGTATTTGCAACCTTTTATATAAACATGACTAGCAGCCTGAAGGCAGGAGTCAGAAGAAAACATCGGGAAATCTTAATGCCTCGGATTTGGCAGCAACATTATAGACCTGACACCAAAGTCCCTGGAACAACAATAACAAAAGAGCAGGTAGGTTGGATTTCATTGAAATAAAGGGGGTAACTCAGGAGACTGAGGGAGGAGAATCACAACTTAATAAGACCTTGCCTTAAAATTAAAACAAAAAAAGAGCTGGGAATTTAGCTCAGTGGCACTGAACCTGGCTTGCAAGTGGAAAGTCTTGAGTTTGATTCCTGGTACCCAGAAAAAAAGGTGGGGCTGGGGATGTAGCTCAGTGCTCCCTTAATTAGGCCTGAAGGTATAGCTCAGGAGATAGAGTGCAAGTTGAGCATGCATGGAGCTCTGGGTTCGAATATCGGCACCACATGAATGCCACCAGTGAAAACAAACCAGAGGATTATATAAAAAAATTATTAAAATGAAGTGGAGCTGGGGCAAGGGCAGCACCCTGAGTTCCGTCCTTGGCACCAAAACAAACTACAGAGCTTTTTTGCACAGAAGGATGGTGTCAAGAAAGCAAAAGGAGGGGTTACTGAATAGGAGAAATGCTTGGGGCTAGAAAGGCTAGGGATATGGCTGAATGGTACAGTAGTGGCTTACCCTGGGTTCCACCCCCAGAGAGAGGGAGACAGAAGAGATGGGGGGGCCAGGGGACTCAGCCAGGTGAGCCGCTGTCTCTGTTCACCACCAGGCCTGAGGAGAACAGGGTGCAGTGGGTACAGTGGCCTTAGTGCCACCTGTGTGGGACGAGACCCCCAGCCTTTGTACCCAGGGCTCATTTCTTTGCCTGCCCAGGTCCTCAGCCAGTCCTGCACGCCACCTTGGACTCTGCCCTCCAGCTGTGGCCAGTGCAGCCACTTGATGCCCATGCAGCCACCCTGAGGCGGCCCAGAGTGAGGGCAGGGACAGAGTCAGATGGCATCGCAGAGTCTTCACTTCTGAGAAACTTAAAATGTACATTCAGATCCTTTTGTTCTGTTTTTCAGTCCCAGGGATGGAACTGTATGCCTTTGCACTACGCTACATCCCCAGCCCGTTTTAATTTTCTATTTTGAGATAGGGCCTCACTAAGTTGCCCATGTTGGGTTTGAACCTATGACCCTCCTGCCTCAGCCTCCCAGAGTGCTGGACTCACCAGCCTGTGCCTCCATGCCTGGCTTCATTCAGATCTTTAAACACCAGGAAGTAGCAGAAGAGCAAGAAATCATATCATTCCTTGTTGAAGAGAAACAGGCTCGGAGAGGCCTGGGTGTCACCAACTCAAGGAGGTGACTCGGTTTCCTGCCATGGCCCTGATGGAGGGATACACCCAGCGGTGCCACTTTTGGGCCACATGGTCCTGGGAGAAAGGCCTGCTGTCCCTCAGGTCACCACCACTCTGAGCCCCGGATGCTGGTGGGAGGAAGTGCATTCAAGGACCCTATGGAGGTGCTGCAGGTCCACACAGGAGGCAGCCAGGCCACAGCCTGGCGGTCTTGGCTCCAACCCACCCACATCACGAAGCCCTCCAAGGCTCTCAGGTTTTTCTCCACCATACTTTTCACTTTCTGCAGCGCTGGGCTCAAGTGCAGGCCTGGCACACGAGCAGCAAGCACCCCGCCACTGAGCTGCCCCAGCCTGACTGCTGTCCCCACCTTAGCCACTATTGCTTCTGTCAGAATGCGGCTTCCTGAGGCTGAGGGGTGTGGTCTCTCATCACAGCTGGGTCCCCAGAACCAAGAACCATGCTTGCTACACAGGAGAGGGTCA